TAATGTTAATAAAAATACAAAGTACGGAATGCTAGTCAGAGTGGTATCTAAGGCAGATACTGGACATGTCTGCCACTTTCAGCTGTATTGTGAAAACGGTGACAATTTAGAAAAGACCATTTCACTTGTGGTTAACTGCAGAAGTTTGCAGCAACCAGCTTCAGATTTTTTTTTTTTTAATTTTCACCTGCTCTCAGTATTAGGAGAGTGAAAAATTTGTCAATTGTGAATGTGTTAAGATAAAGGAGATAGTAAAGAAAGGCAGGAGATGACCATTAGGAAAAACATGAAGAGGTAAGTTAGTACTAAAATAACTGGAACAAGCATGGTACAGTGGAAACGGTGTTAGAATAGGAATCAATCTGACCAGGTTTTCTTTTTTTTTTTTGAGTTGGAGTCTCACTCTGTTGCCTAGACTGGAGTGCAGTGGCACGCTCCCGGCCACCGACTGGGCTCCAGTGATCCTTCCACCTCAGCCTTCCAAGTAGCTGAAACTACAGGCGCATGCTGCCATGCCCGACTAATTTTTTGATTTATCGTAGAGATGAGGTCTCACCAAGTTGCCCAGGCGAGTCTCGAACCCGCAGGCTCAGACAGTCCACTCACTTCAGCCTCCCAAAGTGCTGGGATTACAGGCTGAGCCACCGAGCCTGGCTATGACCAGGTTTTATAATAAGCACTCTGAGCAAGTCATTCTTTCTGTGCAAAGAATGGAAATAATAGTAAATGGTTCTCAACATTGCACATTAAAAACATCTGGGATGTTTTTATAGGCAAGAATGCTTGTCTGTAAATTCAGTTAGTCTTTGGGAGGTGGGACTTGGGCTTGTTTTGAAAATACTTCCACCAATATTATGTAAAATCTCCCCAGGTCTAGGTTGAGAACTACTGACTAGATCAAATGCCTTTCCAACTCTGAAATCTTGCATTTTATGAAATACAATAAAATGTAGCATCCTGTGAACAGTTGTAGCTTGTGGAAGTAATATAAAGGGAGTTGTTGGAGTGATTGGTGTTAATAAATTGTTTTTCTTATGCCAACCAGTAAGATTTTTTAATTGATAGTGATGACATTCTTCTACCATTGGCTTCTTTCATTCCTGTCTTGCTTTCTGAAATATTTTTGAGTAGTTTTTTCTTTTCTTCTTCTTTTTTTTTTCTTTGAGTTGGAGTCTCACTCTGTCGCTCAGACTGGAGTGCAGTGGCACACTCCCAACCACTTCAGCCTCGACCTGCTGGGCTCTGGCGATCCTTCTACCTCAGCCTTCCAAGTAGCCAGAATTACAGGCGTGCACTACTTGAGAAGTTTTTTCTACCGCATTTTTCTAATAAATATTGCTTGATTAGCAGCTTTGAATTTCCTCATATCCATAGAAAGCTGCACTTGTTCGTTGTCACTAGAAAACTCCTTATTTTGTTAAACCCCATAGACTAATGAAGGAGGATAATGACTGGGGCCTGGAAAAATTCTCAGTGTGCTCCATGACAGTCCAGGTACAGTATAATAGTTTAAAACCACTAGGATGATGAGGACTTTTGTAATAGTGATAAATATTCCTTATTATACCCCAAAGGATAAATTTGGGGGCACTATTTATGCTTTTCCAATCATTCTTTTTTTCAGGGGAGTATCGGATCTTACTCTCTCACTTATGCTGGAATGCAGTGGCAGGATCATGCCTCACCGCAGCCTCGAACTCCTGGGCTTAGGTGATCCTTCGGCCTTAACCTTCCAGATAGCTGAGATTACAGGCATGCACCATCATGCCTGGCTAATTTTTAAATTGTTTTGTAGAGACAGGGTCTCACTATGTTGCTCAGGCTGGTCATAAACTCCTGAGCTCAGGCAGTTCTCTCTCTTCGACCTCCCAAAGTGCCGGGATTACAGGCATGAACCAATGTGCCCTACTAAGTTCTTAATTACATAAAAGAATGATTGGGCTCTGAATACCTGGATTGGTATTTGAGACCAGCTTGGGCAACATAGTTAGACCTCATCTTTACCAAAAATCACAAAAATTAGCCTGATATGTACCTGTAGTCCCAGCTATTCAAGAGACTGAAGTGGAAGTATCACCTGAGCCCAGGTGGTCAAGGCTGCAGTGAGCAGGGATCGGGCCCGATGACAAAGTAAAACACCGACTCAAAAGGGAAAAAAAAGCCTGAATGTAATAATGGTTTTACAGAGTTAATTGTTCTTTAAAAAATAGTCATAAAATGTAAGGGTTGGAAGAGTAAAAGCTACCTGATGGTTGAATTTTCCTCAGTGTTCTAGAAATATGGTTGTGAAAACAGTATTTGATCCCCTCTGTCTGGGAACTCACTAACTCTGTAGATGTTTGTTCAATTTTTGGAAAGCTCTGATTATTAGAAAGTATTTTCTTATACTCAGTTAAGATCTGACTCACTGGAGTTCCCTGGGGCCATACAAAACAAATCTATTTCTTCTTAATGAGACATTTTTCAGTTGATTGATGACTAGGTTCACATCTTAATTTGATTTTTCTCTTCTCCATCTAATTACCTCTGTTCCCTGGCTCTTTGTATAGCTTGGTTTTGAGACGTCTTGTCTAATTTATTTATATCCCCTTTGAAATGTATTAGCACACAGAATATATGTTTTGGAAGCAGGAGTTTGCTTTCAAAAACAGCCTTCAGTAGAGGTTTCTCAACTTTGCTTATACTATGTCCTTTTTAAGTTAGTTGTAGATCCTATAGCTTTATGTCATGCTATACTATAACCCTTACTCTTGACTAGTTGTTTGTCACATTCTCTACTCATACCTAATTATTTATAAATTTGTTTTCTTGATATATACCTGTAGGACTTCATATTTATTTCTTTTTCTTTTTTCTTTTCTTTCTTTCTTTCTTTTTTTTTTTGATTCAGAGTCTCACTCTGTTACCCAGGCTGGAGTGCAGTGGCATGCTCACAGCCCCCGCAGCCTAGGATTGTTAGAACTACAGGCAAATGCCACCATAGCCAGCTAATTTTTTGATTTATTGAGGAGATGAGGGCTCATGTAGTTGCCTATGCTCATCTCGATCTCCTGGATTCAGGCAATCCTCTCTCCTCGGCCTCCCAAAGTGCTGGGATTATAAGTGTGAGTCACCACACCCAGTTTATTTCTTTTAAATTTTATCTGGTCTGTTGATTCTTTTGAGTCTTAATACAGTGAATTCATTGTCCTTTTCAGTTTGAGATATTGTGCAGAATTAATGATCATATTTTTTTTTAATGCATGTCCAAGCAAGAAAGTTAAATAGGCAGAATCATTTCAAATACTGTATACAAAGCTAAGACTCAGATTTGTGTACTGTAAATACTGTAGTCCGATTCCCTGTTACCAGGAATTTCCCTATGATTAACACTGTCATGCATATATGTGTGTGTATGCATATTTTTTATGTGTTTATTTTAAGATCTGCCTTCTAAGTGATCTTTAACACCTAGAACACTCTTTTTTTGGCTTTTCATAAGGTTCAGTTACTTCTTTTTTTTTTTTGAGTTGTAGTCTTACTCTGTCACCCAGCCTAGAGAGCCATGGCACACTCACGGCTACTACAACCTCAACCTCCTGGGCTCAGCCTTCTGAGAAGCTGGAACTATGGGCACACGCCACCACACCCAGCTAATTTTTTGACTTATCGTAGAGACGAGGTCTCTCCAAGTTGCCCAGGCTGCTCTCGAACTCGTGGACTCAGGCAGTCCTCTCGCTTCTGCCTCCCGAAGCGCTGGGATTACAGTGTGAGCCACCACACCCGGCCTGGTTCATTTACTTTCACTTTTTTTTTTTTTACATTAGAAATATAGTTTATTTAAAAGTAAATTAGAGGGAGAGAGATAACTCCCCATAATAATGAGAAACATTACTATTTTATTAGATCTCCTAACTTTGTTCATAGACATGAGTTTTATTTATTATTCGCTTCTCTTCTAGAGTTTAATAACTTAAGCTCCATAAAGTCAGACTTTGTCATGTTATCACTATATCCCTAGCATCTAGCATAGTGTTTGGTGCAAGTGGATACTTAGTTATTAATTGAAGGAATTGTTTTATTGCTCATTGTTTTGTTGTATTTTTACTTTATGTGTAGTTTGTAAAACAGAAAGAATTTTGACTATACTTTTTGAATTATTGTACTCCCTTTTTACCAACTCTCCAGATATTTTGAGTTATTCTGAGGGGTTGGGTCACATAATCTCCAACTGGAAAATTTCTGCTTTGCTTTGATCATCTGTTATCACATCTGTAATTATCTTTGCATCTTGCCCAATTTTTTCTCCTCAATTTTTTCCCCAAAATGGTTTTATGAAAGATCTTATCAGATACATGTACAAATAAATAGATTTTTTTTTAGGATTTTGTCTCAGATATGAGAAAAACCTCTCATTTGGTAAATAATGTCTAATTGAAAATTCAAAGTAAAAGGATCCTAGGTCCAGTAAGAATATTTATTTTATTTCCCTGATAGACGCTTATCACAAGTGGCATTAGATACTTGTTCTCTGTGGACTTTATACTGGGTCTTAATAAATCATATCTTTTCTAGTTCTTATGGAGTCTTATCTGGGATCTGTATCAGGGTCAGAGTGCTCTTTAGAGAACATTGACCACAATTCGGCAATTTGATTTATATGTTACTTTAGTTTGGTTTAAAATTAATTTTGATAATCTTTTCTCTTCTGTGGGTTTAATTAAAATATGTTGGGATATAAAAGCTAGAAACTTTTTTTGGATTCTGAAAAACTTTCCCAGATACATTTGTTCTTAAGTCCAAAAGTGATTACTCTTCCCATCTGTTGGCCCACAGAATTGGTGTCTTTCTTTTCTGACACCGAAGTTTATACTTGTCTATGAAATTTTGTGACTTGAAAGTCCATACGTAAAGAAGCGTCTGTATGACTCAATATATATTCTGAAAAGAACTGTAGTTAATGCATTTTTTAAAAATGTGTTTTCTGTTTTAATATTGTATGTCTTTTCCTTCCCCCACAGAGAATGGATCTTGGAGAATGTCTGAAAGTTCATGACCTGGCTTTAAGAGCAGATTATGAAATTGCATCCAAAGAACAAGATTTTTTCTTTGAACTTGATGTATGTGATTTTTGCTTTAATGGGTTATATTATCATTCACAGTAAAACATTTTTAATGTAGGTTAATATCTCTTAATAGGAAAACCTCTCAGCAGATTATCTTCTTTGTGGTTATATGATAATGTGGTAATACTTTGTGGTAATACTTAAGATCATATACTTTCTTTTCTTGAGTTGGAGTCTGACTCTGTCGCCCAGGATGGAGTGCAGTAGCATGCTTACGGCCACCGCAGTCTTGACCTGTGGGGTTCAGGCAACCCTTCCACCTCAGCCTTCCAAGTAGCTGGAATTTCAGGCACACGCCACCACACCCAGCTAATTTTTTATTTATTTTAGAGATGAGGTCTCGCCAGGTTGCCCAGGCTAGTCTCTAACTCCTGGGCTCAGGCAATCCTCTCACCTCAGCCTCCCAAAAATGATGCATTATTTTTTTAAAGATTGAGTATTTATAGGATAAATGTCTAAAAGTAGAATAGCCATGTTAGTGAATAATTTTATGAATAATGCCAAGTTGTTCTTTATGAGAATTATTGATATACACTCCCATCTGTAATATGATTTTCTATTTCCCTTGTGGCTACATAGTGTGCTGTCCAGATTTATTTTTTATTTTTTTATTTATTATGAGTTGGAGTCTTACTCTGTCACACGGGCTAGAGTGCAATAGCATGCTGCTGGCCATGGTAGCCTCTACCTGCTGGCTCAGGTGATCCTTCCACCTCAGCCCTTCAAGTAGCTGGAATTACAACTGTGCGCCACCACGCCTGGCTAATGTTTTGATTTATTTTAGAGATGAGGTTTTGCCAAATTGCCCAGGCTGGTCTTGAACCTCTGGACTCAGGAAATCCTCTCACCTCGGCCTCTCAAAGTGCTGGGATTACAGGCTTGAGCCACCACACCCAGCCAGTTGTCCAGATTTCTTTAGGTGACATTGATAGATGAAATAGGAATACAAGTGTAGTTTAATTTGCATTTCTCTTATGAGTGAATTTGTACATGTTGCTTATATTTAAGATCTAGTTATATTTCCTTTTTAGTGAACTTGTCAGTATGCAACTTTGGAGGGGTTATTGGCTAATCTTGGATGTTAGTGTTTTTCTAATTGATTTGTACTAACACTACATATTATGAAAATTAGTTTTTTTCCTCAGATAAACATTGCAAGCATTTTTTTCCTATTTTTGTTTTTTGGCCATTCAGCATATTCTTATAGTTTTACTGTTCAATGTATCAATCTTTAACAAATCCACTGGATTAATTCTAAAGGCTTTTTCTATTCTGAGATGATAAAAATTCTCTCCCATTTTTTTTCTGGGTTTTTTTGGCTTCATTTATGCACTTAAATTTTTGATCCCTCTTGAATTTACTTTTGTCTAAGGAATTGTATGGATCTAGCCCCTCTTGCCCCCTAAATAGCTACTTAGTTATCCAATACTATTTATTAATTAGTACATCTTTTCTCTCATTGCTTTGAAATGCCACCTTTATCCTCACATAAGGAAATTCGAATAGATTTCTGGTGTGACTTTTTTTTTTTGAGTTGGAGTCTCACTCTGTTGCTTAGGCTGGAGTGCAGTGGCATGATCATGACTCCCTTAGCCCTGACCTGCTGGACTCAGGCGATCCTTCTGCCTCAGCCTTCCAAGTAGCTGGGACTATAGGCAGGTACCACCACATCTGGTTTTTATTGTAGGGATGATACATGTTGCCCAAGCTGGTCTTGAGCTCCTGGACTCAGGCAGTTCTCTTGCCTTGACCTCCCCAAATGCTGGGATTACAGGCGTGAGCCACCTTGCTGATCTTCTATTGTGATTTTTAAAAAGATAAATTTCAGCTGGGTACAGTGACTCACACCAGTAATCCCAGTACTTTGGGAGGTGCATATGGGAGGATCACTGGAGCCTAGGTCTCTGAGACCAGCCTGAGCAATATAGTAGACTTCATCTCTACAAAAAATAAAAAAATCATTCAGGTGTGGTGGTATATGCCTGTAGTCCCAGCTACTTAAGAGACTGAAGAAGGAGGATCTCTTAAACACAGGAATTAGAGCTGTGGAAAGCTGTGATCATGCCACTGCACTCCAGCTTGGGTGACAGTAAGATACTGACTCAAAAAATAAAAATACAAAGATAAATTTCAAATTAAAAGACTTAAGTATCTATTTTTATTTTACTACAGATAATAAAGATTTTTTAATTTTTTAATTTTTTTTTAGTTAATCATTTTATTGCTTGATTACATAGACAAATTTATGTAACCAGGGCAGAGGCTGTGGATGACTCATATTTCTAATTGGGAGGGAGTACTCGCTTGGTCTTTTTTTTTTTTTTTCAGGTTTTTTTAAATGATCCTTATTGCTTTTTACTTTGAAGAATTTTTGGGTTACTCAACCATTTTTGAAATTCAGTGTGTGCTGAATAAATGTATATTTTTCATTAAACATTCATATTTTGAATTAGCTGTATTTTTCTACAATAAAATTTGGAAGTTCAAATTGATTTAATTCGATGACAAATGTTTAAAGGTTAGTTTTAAGTAATTTTAATAATTATAGTCATATGTACCTCACAATTATCTTTCATATAAATATTGAACTGGATTTTTATAATGTAGATACTGCTAAAAGTCTCTGGTTTACTCTTTGAAATGGTTAAATATTCCTGATTGTAACATTTTCATTGTGGACATTTTGAAAAATACAAACTAAGAATTACTTAAATATTTAAAAATAATTATTGTTAACATTTGTATATAGGCTTACATTTTTTTCAATACTTCTTTACAAAAATTAGGATCTTACTGCATATAACATTTATAACTTGCCTTTTATTTATGAATGAATTCAGAACATTTCCCCAACCTCAAGCATGGTATTAAATACTTTTTTAATGACTAAAGATCAAAATTTCACAATGTGGGCTGGACATTTGGGTATTTATAGCTTTTCAGTTATCTCACTATGAAAAACATCTTTGAATAGTAACCCTGATTACTTTCTTAAGACAAATTTCTGTAAGTAAAATTAGTAAGTCAAGGGACATGTCTAAGGTTTGATAAGAATAACCTTGTTGTCTTTTTACAAAGACCGCACTGGTTTGTGCTCCCTTTCAGCAAGTTATGAGAGTGGCAGTTTCCTTTAATAAGCCTTACCTTTCCCGGGAATTATTATTTATATTTACCTTTTGCCAATTTGATAGATGACAAAAAGGTTTTTTGGTTTATATTTGAACTTGTTTTTCTTACTTTTTATTTCCACGGTAGCATTTTAAAAAACAAAGTATAATTTTTGCATAAAGATATGTCTGAAAAAAATTGACTTTCTGGCAGTAATTATCTTTAATTAAACTTTGTAGGCCATGGATCATCTGCAGTCATTCATTGCAGATTGTGATCGAAGAACAGAAGTGGCTAAGAAAAGATTGGCAGAAACTCAAGAAGAGATTAGTGCTGAAGTGGCAGCAAAGGTAAGAATTTCATTCATTTTATTAGTACAAAGTATACTTTCAACTCACTACTTTTTGTTTTAATTTTTTTATTTTGAAATAATTAGATTTTCAGGAGATTACAAAGACTTATCTGAGGAATTCTGTGTACTCTTTTCTCTTGCCTATCCTAATGTTAACATCTTACACAATATAGTACTATATAAAATAAATTGACATTGATCTAATCTTTATATTTTATTCAAGATTTCACAAGTTATGCATGCATTTATTGTGTATGCATAGCTCTACACAGCTCTTGGCAATTGTATCACATGTGTAACTACAGCCGTAGTTAAGATAAAGTATAGCATGACCACAAGGCTTCCTCATGTTTCCCCTCTTTATAGCCACAGCCATCCTCTCCTCTACCATCCCTAGTCCCTGGAAACTACTGGTCTGTTCTCCATCTCTGTAATTATGTTATTTCATGGAGTGTTACATAAATTGAACCCTGCAGTATGTGTCCTTTTGAGATTAGGTTTTCTTTACTCAGCAGCACAGCTTCCTTTACTTTCATCCAAATTGTGTATATCAGTAGTTCATTCCTCTTTATCTTTCCATAGTATGGATATGCCACAGTTTATTCACACACTGAAGGACATTTGGGTTGTTTTTTGTTATTGGCTAATATCAGCAAAGCTGCAGTCAACATCTGGTTTTTTTGGTTGTTGTTTTTGAGTCAGAGTCTCACTCTGTTACCCAGGCTGGAGTGTAGTGGCACGCTCACTGCCACCACAGCCTCGACCTGCTGGGTTCAGGTGTCCTTCCGCCTATGCTTCCAAGTAACTGGAACCACAGACTGTGTACTGTTTTTTTGTGCTGACATACGTTTTCATTTCTCTGCGATAGATGGCCAAGGTTGCAATTGTTGGGTCATAAGGTAAATCCATTTTTAAATTAGAAAGCAACTACCAAACATTTTTAGAGTGATTGCCAGCAATGTGTAAGTAATCCAGTTTCTCAATTATCTGTGCCAGCATTTGGTCACATCATTTTTTTTTTTTTTGAGTTGAGTGCTGAGTGTTCCACAGTTTATTATTTTTTTTATTTATTGCTGATTTCAAAGCCACCCGTTTTGTTATTGTTTCATTATTGTTTTGTTTGCTTTTAAAAGCAAATTGTAGATTTCATTTCACTTGTAAACTATAACCACAATATCACATCCATGGCGTTAACAGTAATTATTTAATGTTGTCTGATATCCAGTATGTGTTCCTTTTTCTAATATAGAGTCAATTTGTTAGAATCCAAACAAGGTCCTAGTATTTGAGGGAGGACCCAATAAAACCTGGAATTATTTTTTGGAGGACGTACTCCTTGTAGTACAAGCTTCCAACTTGTAGTACAAGCGCCTGTAGTTCCGGCTACTTGGAAGGCTGAAGCGGAAGGATCTCCTGAACCAGCAGGTCAGGGCTGTGATGGCTGTGAGCGTGCCACTGCACTCCAACCTGGATGACAGTCAGACTCCCAACTCAAAAAAAAAAAAAGTAAAAGGTATAATTAGACAGCTTTATCCAGATTTTAGAGAATATATGTATTGAATATACATGTGGAGATTTATAAATGTTGTCTACATTATCACATGGGCTACAGTGGTGTCTAAAACAAAATGACGGAACACTGAAAAAAAACGCTGTAAAAAAATTTTTATTTTAGATTCCATGGAGTTTACATGCATATTCATTACATGGACATATTGTATAGTGGTGGGGATTGGGCTTCAGATAGCCCATTCCCCACATAGTAAGCATTATGTTTATAGGTAGTTTCTGAACCATAATCCTCTCCCCTCTTATTGGTTATATACAGTTTTTAAATAAATTCTTCCCATGTTGCTTTTGTTGATTTGATGACTTACTACTTTATAACATCATTCTGTTCCATTCAATATAATCTAGTGCATTTTATCAAAATGCAGAGTGGTAGATAAAGATATTATCTGAGTTCAGATGACAGCATTAAAATAAGGTGTTCAGGCTGGGTGTGTTGGCTCATGCTTTTAATCCCAGCACTTGGGAGGTCAAGTGCTGGGATATATATATGTGGTGTTCAGATATGTATGTATAAATATATGTATATGCATATATACACATATATATATATGTTCAGATATGTATGTATAAAAGGAAATAGATTTCCTTGTTTGAGAACAGAGTTGCTGTTAGTGGCTTTTTCTAAAAAGTGCTTGGTAGAGCCTAAGCTATATTGGTTGTATTGGTTATTCATCACTCCCAAATACTGTATAACAAAGCTCAGTGACTTAAACTGTGAGTATTTTTTTAGCCATGCCTCTACAGTTGATGATTTTGGCTGAACTTGACTAAGTTTGACTCACATGTCTTACAGTCAGCTGTAGGCTACTGACCCATGCCCAGAAGGCTAGCCTGGCCATGTTCTAATGGTGGAGGGAAAGGTATAGAGTTATCAAGCCCAGTCACACAAGCCCTTTCAAGCCTTTTCTTAGGTCATGGTCCTTTTCTACCATCCTACTAAAGCAAGTTCACAGCCAAACTTATAGTCAGAATACAATAGTATACACAGTTACATCGTAAAGGCCATGGATACAGGGAAGGATAAAGTGTTTAGGCTATCATTGCAGTCATTCAATGACATATTTAAAGGAAAATAGCACTTTGGTAGAGAGAGAGGATGGTGATAATAGAATTGGGAATCTTGTTGAGGGGAGACCATATCTTGGATTTGAGGAAATTTAAGAGGTAAAGATTATTGACTCACTACTTTGCTTGGATTAGATGTACCAAATGAAAACCTTCTTTGCTAACATAATTAGCCACACAACAGACTAAATACTTACTTTGTGGTCAAAATAAAGATTATGTATATGTATAATGTGCAATTACAATAGTAGGAATGAACTAGGTTCCTAGGATGATGATGAGGAGGACGAAGAGAAGCATAAAATTCCAAGGCAGGAATTAATCCCAGGGGAACGTTAAGGATAAGGGAGTAGGGGGTGCCATGCTAGTGTATTAAACATCAACATGGTACTATGCAATGTATAAGAAGGCACATTTTCTCATTTCTCACAGTTTGTGGGTTAGGCATTGTTCCTACTTCTTAGATGAGGAAATGGATTCAGGTTTAAGTAATTTGGCCAAAATTACACAGCTAGTAATCAGTTTAGCAGTAAACCAGGTCTGTGTGGGACTCCTAAGCTATAGCCACCAGTTACTTTACGGAGTATTTACCAGTTCGTTTCTTTAACTCATTTTTGAACCTGTGCTATTTGTTGGGCACTAGAGACAAAGATGGGAAATTCAGATAGCTATCCTTAAAATAGTATGATATAGGTATACACATTTTAAGTATGACATTTACAATGTGTATACTCTTTTTTGGCACCCCTGTATATAAAAGTAATTGTCATGGTCAGATGCGGTGGCTCATGACTGTAATCCCAGCACTTTGGGAGGTCAAGGCGAGAGGATTGCTTGAGCGTAGGTGTTCAAGACCAGCTTGGGCAACATCATGAGCTCTCCTCTCTATAAAAAATAAAAAAATTAGCCAGACATGATAGTGCATGCCTGTAATCCCAGCTACTTGGGAAGCTGAGGCAGAAAGATGGCCTAAGCCCAGAAGGTTGAAACTACCATGAGCTGGAATCATGCCCTTGCCCTCCTGCCTGGCAACAGAGCAAGATTCTTGTCTTTAAAAGAAAGAAAGAAAGAAAAATTGTCTGAAAAATGTAAAAGACAGCACAAAGAGGAGGTTATGGCCATCTTTGCTTATGTGTTTAAGTGGAAATAAAGATTTGGTAATTGTTAGGAATGCTTCACAGAAATGACTCTTGAGTTGGATTTTGTTGAATAGATGGATGCACATTCACTAGGCAGGTAAGGTAGGGCATCTCAGGAAGAGGGAACATAGCAAAGTCACTGAGGTAAAAAACAGCAGGGGAAGTTTGGGAAGCTATCACTATAGATTATGTTGTGAGGTGGGGAGCACCGAGAGATGGTTTAGGGAGGTACAGAGGGCTGGATCATCGAAAAAAGGCTATTTTACACCTGGAATACACCATCTAAACAGAGGCCAGAAAGTTATATTGGGATTAGTAGTATATCCCTGACAGCACTGAGATGAAGGCAGGCTCAAAGCATCCTGATGTCTCACTGCTTCATTTGAGACTATGTTGGAAAGCATTATTTATGCTCATCTTGCCTTAGATAACAAATCTTTTCTGAGCATTTTAAGAATATTTTGAAGTTTATATTTGTTCTGTTTCTCTATGTTCTTTTTCTTTCTAGGCAGAACGTGTCCATGAGTTAAATGAAGAAATTGGCAAGTTGTTAGCCAAGGTGGAACAACTAGGAGCTGAAGGGAATGTGGAAGAATCCCAGAAAGTAATGGATGAAGTAGAGAAAGCACGCGCAAAGAAAAGAGAAGCAGAGGTAAATTTTTAATAGTAGTAGATGAATTCTGCTTACTTTGACAATAAAAAATACTAGATAAGGCTTTAGTATCTACTTCTTGAAGAGCATATATTTCATTGGAAGTTATTAAGAAGTTCTTATTAAATGGAATTTAATTTTAAAATAGGTGGTCCATGTCATACTAATGTGTTTGTTTCAAAATCAGTTGATTTTTGGAGTTTGGAGCTATTGATCTGTGGAAATTTATAACTTGTAATGGTAAGTGAAATTAAACTAGTAACCAGTCGTACACAGCAGTTAAACACACACCATAGATACATATATATTCTCTGCACGATACATTTCCCCACTCAGCCCCCATGTATCTGTCACATTCTTACTTCTCTTCCCATCTCTGTACAATCTGCTAGCACCTAGGGAGCCTTTTCTCATTCTTCCTTCATAGCACAGATCAAAATCTGATATCCTGCAGTCAAAGTTTTATTTTGATTGGTGCACCCGATGTTTGGAAAATCAGATGTCTTTGGTAAGGATTGTACTGTATCCTTTGCCATAGTCTCCATTCCTTCTAACTGTATCACACCTGGCCTGCTTTTCAGGACCTGCATGGTCTCCATAGATACCTGAGCCCTCCTCTACAGTGTTTCCTCAGTCCAGGGGACCCCCACTCCTTTGTTTTCTTTTTATCAGTGTAAGGTTTTTTGGCTGTCAAGAGGGCACGGTTTGTTGTGGCAAGGTCAAAAAAAGGAAGGAAGCTGGGTACAGTGGTGCACACTAGTCTCAGCTACTCAGGAGGCTAAGTTTGCAGGATCACTTGAGTCTAAGAGTTCAAGTCCAGCGTGGACAATGTAGCAAGATCCTGTCTCTTAAAAAAAAAAAAGAAAGAAAGAAAACCCTATTACTCAAACTTCTTTGAGATGCTTGCTTTTTATTTTTCTTTATGTTCTGATATCAGGTATGTTCTTCAGACAAGAGAGGAAAAGCAGCATAGAGGGAATCCATTTTAGTACCTCTTCTACCATCTTGCTTTTATTCTGCCTTAACATTAGTGCTGATTTTCAGCAGAGGAAGAAGACAAGAATTGAGAAGAGGGAGGAAGAAAGGAAAAACTATGGTCATTACTTCTCATGGAACCTGTATAATGCCAGTATTATAATCATGGCCATGAGACATCAAGAAAATAATACATTCTTTTGAAGAAAGAGAAAGGCCTAATACATAATCAGAAATTTTTCCCAGAAAGGAGTTGAAGGAAGACTTATTAACCAGATTATCGTCTTCCCCAACCTCCCCCCCCCACCCCGGTCAGAGTCTCACTCTAACGCCCAGGCTGGAGTGCAGTGAAACGGTCACTACTCATCACAGCCTCCACGTCCTGGGCTCAAATGATCTTTCCACCTCAGTCTCCTGAGTAGCTGGGTCTGCAGGTACACACCACCATGTCTGGCTAATTTTTAAAATTTTCATAGAGATGAGGTCTCACTGTGATGCCCAGGCTGGTCTCAAACTCCTAGCCTCAAACTACCTTCCCACCTTAGCCTCCCAAAGTGCTGAGGTTATAGGTGTGAGCCATTGTGCCTGGCTTTGCCAGCCATTCTTAATAACTTATTCACATAATGACTTTATCTTTGGTTTGATATCAGGATAATGCCAATTCATAAAATGAGTTGGGAAATTTTTATCTTTTTTGAAAGTATTTTTGTAGGATTGGTATTTTTCTTCCTTTATTTTTATTTTTATTATTTTGAGTCGGAGTCTTACTCGGCCATCCAGACTGGAGTGTAGTAGCATGGTCATGGCCACCACAGCCTTGATCTGGAATTAGGCGATCTTTCCACCTCAGTCTTCCATGTAGCTGGAACCACAGGCATGCGCCACTACTCCCAGCTGATTTTTTTTGGTTTATTGTAGAGACGAGGTCTCGCCATGTTGCTCAGGCTGGTTTAAAACCCTTGAAACCCTGCTCAGGCAGTCCTCCTGCCTCCGCCTCCCAAAGTACTGGGATTATAGGCGATTTTTCTTCCTTTAAATATTTGATAGAATTCAACAGTGAAGCCACCAAGGACTGGAGTTTTCTTTATGTGAAATTATTTTACTTAAATTCTTTAGTCATTATAGGGATATTCAGTTTTTTCTGTTTCTAATCACTTTTGGAAATTTGTCTTACACAAATCTCTCAGTTCTTGCATTTACTGGCATAAAGCTATTCATAATCTTTTTTTTTTTTTAATTAAGAGGCAGGGTCTCAACTCTGTCACCTAGCCAGAGTACAGGTGTATGATCATAACTCACTTCAGCTTTGAACTCATGGGCAATTCTTCTGCCCCGGTCTCCTGGGTAGCTTAGGACTTCAGACGTGTGCCACCACACCTGGCTAATTTTTTAAATTTTCTGTAGATTCAGAGTCTTGCTGTGTTTCCCAGGCTGATATCAAACTCCTAGCTTCAAAGAATCCTCCCCACTCAGCCTCCTGAGTCACTGGGATTACTGATGTGAGCCAACATGCACAGCATGTTCCTTTTTAATGTCTGTAGAAGCTGTTGGCAATTGATCTATCTAGCTCGATGTTTGTCATTTTTCTATTTCTTCTCAAATAACCAACTTTGTGTTTGTTTTGTTTTTTTTAAGTTGGAGTCTTACTCTGTTGTCCAGGCTCGAGTGCAGTGGCATACTCCCAGCCACAGCAACCTTGACCTGCTGGGCTAGGTGATCCTTCCACCTCAGCCTTCCAAGTAGCTGGAATTACAGGCACGTGCCACCATGCCCAGCTAATTTTTGATTTATTTTAGAGATGAGGTCTCGCCAAGTTGCCCAGGCTTGTCTCTAACCCCTGGGTTCAGGCAGTCCCCTCACCTCAGCCTCCCAAAGTGCTAGGATGATAGGCGTGAGCCACCGCGCCTGACTCGACCCTGTGATTTTATTGTTTGTTTGTTTTTTCATTGATTTCTGTTCATGTTTATACTTTATTTCCTTCTACTCCAGTGGAGAGGTCCCAAGGATGGAGGATAGGGATAAAGAGGAGCCTATAATTCTCATTACAAAATAGTTATGTTTTTGTATATTCATTAGAAAATATTTTGGGGGCTGGGTGCGGTGCCTCACACCTGTAATTTCAGCTCTTTGGGAGGCTGAGGCAAGAGGATCACCTGAGCCCAGGAGTTTGAGACCAACCTGAGCAACATGGCCAAACCTCGTGTCATTCATACATACATAAATATTATTATTATTATTATATTAGCAGCCAGGCATGGTAGCACATGCCTGTGATCCCAGCTACTTAAAAGGCTGAGGGGAAGGGATCTCTTGAACCCAGCAGTTTGAGGTTTCAGTGGCCATCATTGTGCCACTGCACTCCAGCCTGGGCAACAGAGTGAAACTCCGACTCAAAAAAAAAAAGAAAAAACATTGTTGGTATAAGCATAGTATATTTTATTTGTTTGACTTTTGGTAAATATGATTATCGTTTTCTCACTTTTGTCTAGGAAGTTTATCGGAATTCTATGCCAGCTTCCAGTTTTCAGCAGCAGAAACTTCGAGTCTGTGAAGTCTGCTCTGCCTATTTAGGTCTTCATGATAATGACAGACGACTGGCTGATCATTTTGGGGGTAAACTACACCTGGGATTTATTGAAATAAGAGAGAAGCTTGAAGAATTAAAGGTACATTGGTAAATTAATACTCCTCACTTTATCCTGTTTAACCACTTGTTTTTTTTTATCTGTATCAGTTGTCTTTTTGTACAATATTCTTGATTGTGATTAAGTTCTATTTAGTATCTTAACAATTCATACTGAATTCAGAGTGGTTTCTAAACTAATTTTTTATACAGAGTTGGCTAAATTTTTCATTGTTCTTTCAATAAGGTCACTAATAATATTTAATATAATAATTATAGAAAGATTGAGACTATGAGCCCAATATTTATTTGAAATATTTTGCAGGTCTTCACTGAATGACAAGCTTGTGGAACCCCTAGTTTTATGTTTCTGCCTCCATTCAGAAAAGACTTAGGATGAAATCTATATATTAAGAAAAGGACAGTCACTGTTACCTAAATTTGTAGGCCATTGTGAAAAAGGCAACACAGATTTTACTCATCTCTTCAGTTCTTTTGAGGGGATAACCAAAAAGAAAAATTTGGAGGTGTTTCTGAAGTGGTAAAGATGAGGCTGTTTTAGTGGATATAATCTATTTTACTTTTAAATGGCTGTAGCTAGTCTTTTATAAATTGTGACATTGTGGCATTTTGTCATGAATTGAGGACTAGCTCAAAGATGAGAAATACTGGATAGTCATTTTCTATGTAATTATTATCACTGGAATTAACCCAAGATCCATTTAAAATAATGTGGAATCAGAAAATGCCTAGAAACATCTCCATATTGGCAGGTAACCATGAGAGCTCCTTTCATTATTCTGAGTAGCTAGGATGATCTCAAGTTTTAAAATGAGTTTCACTGTAGCAAATGACTGGGCTTCAGGTTAAAACTCAGAAGTGGTACCTACTTGGGAATCTTTGCATAAACAGATCTAGCAACAGAACTCTAGTGTTTTACTCATATCTTTATTTTTTATTTTTGAGTCAGAGTCTCACTGTCACTCAGGCTGGAGTGTAGTGGCACACTCATGGCCACCACAGCCTCGACCTGCTGGTCTCAGGCGATCCTTCTACCTCAGCCTTCCAAGTAGTTGGAACCACAGGCGCATGCCCAGCCTATCTTTTGATTTATTGTAGAGACAAGGTCTCCCCAGGTTGCCCAGGCTGGTCTCGAACTCCTGGGCTCTGACAGTCCACTCGCCTCTGCCTCCCAAAGTGCTGGAATTACAGGTGTGAGCCACCATGCCTGGCTGCTCCTATCTTTAAAAGCAACAGAACCAGGGTGGTAATTGGAAGTGACAGAAGACATTTCCATGTTAGAAATCAAAGGGTGCGTGAAAACTTATATTTTATAATGGTTGATTTTTTTTTTTTAACAATATAATGCTGGAAAATGTTTCCAGCAGAAAAATCTTGTAGAATTGATTTTGAAATGTCATTAAAAAGTCATGGAGAAATGCGAAATTTTACAAATTTTTCACAAAATGGGGAGAGATTTTTGGAAAGCAGATTTGTAAGCCAATGATTATACCCGGTAAAATTTCAACTTGAACTATGATTAAGCAGATTCTGATGACAATTGACCTGATATTAGAGACCAGATAATGATAACATTTAGGGTTAAACTGATTAAGAATGGATCCAGTAAATATGCTCATTTATTATCATTTTCAAGAGAGTTGTCGCTGAGAAGCAGGAGAAAAGAAACCAGGAACGTCTGAAACGACGAGAAGAAAGGGAGAGAGAAGAAAGAGAGAAACTGAGGAGGTATGAAGTACTGGCCTAAATATTTGAAGTTGAGCCTCCTTGTTCTAGAAAAAGATGTGATTGATATAAAATTTTAGAGAGTAATGCAATAGTCACACAATTTGGAATATTTCTGTTTACTTTTAAAAAATGTTACTATGCAAATTACACAAATATGTAATTATATAAGTATCTTAATCTTGACCATTTAACTGAAAGTGATTTCCTCCAAAATGTGTAGAAGAGTGAATAAAAAATGCCTCATATCTTCATGTCTTATAAGATTTATAGCAAAACCTGTTTCTAGCCTTCTGATTTTTCATATTGGCCTACATTTGTGCCAGGTTGCCATAGAACTATTTGCTTTTATGATATGTTTTATACTTGTTAAAAAGTTTGAAGCCGGGCTCGGTGGCTCAGCCTGTAATCCCACGCCTTTGGGAGGCTGAGGTGAGTGGATTACCTGAGCCTGTGGGTTCGAGACCTGCCTGGGCAGGCAAGACCTCATCTCTACAATAAATCAAAACATTAGCCGGGCGTCGTGGCGCACGCCTGTAATTCCGGCTACTTGGAAGCCTGAGGCGGAAGGATCGCCGGAGCCCAGCAGGTCGAGGCTGTGGTGGCTGGGAGCGGCCACTGCACTCCAGTCTGGGCGACCGAGTGAGACTCCAACTCAAAAAAAAAAAAAAAAAAAAAAGTTTGAGGGTTTTTTTTGTTTTGTTTCATTAATTTTTTTTTTTTTTTAAAAGATTGAACTGTGGTTCTTTATCTCTTCAATTCTAGGAGCCATAAATCATTTTAAAAAGTAATATATGTATTTATTTAGAGACACGGTCTTACTCTGTTGCTCAGGCTGTAGTGCAGTGGTGTGATCTCGGCTCACTGCAGCCTCGACCCCCTAGGCTCAAGTGACCCCCTCACCTCAGCTTCCCGGGAGCTGGGACTACAAGCACAAGCCATCACCCTTGGCTATTTGTTAAAGATTTTTTTGTAGAGAGGATGTCTCACTGTGTTGCTCTCCAGGTCTCGAACTCCTAGGCTCAAGGGATTCTACCCCCTTGGCCTCCGAAAGTACTGGGATTATAGGCATGAGCCACCACGCCCAGCCTATTAATTTAGTAATAGCTAAATGTATATAATTCTGCTTATAGTAATATTTATTAATTGAAAAAATCTTACAATGTTTTATATTTAGAATGTCTGAACGTTATTCTGAGTCACTTTTATCCTTTGGCAACTAAAATCACATATAATGGTGACAACAGTTTGTGTTACCTTTATAACTTCTTTAACAACTTTGGGATGGGCAGGCATATCACAAAGGATTTGCCTGTAGTTCTAATTAATAGTGTTCCCTTAATTGCAGTACACACCTGAAATTTAAATACCTTCTCTGCAGAGTTAGCAGATGTGCTTAAGTTAATTAAAACCTTTTATTAATTTTTTTTTTGGAGTCATGCTCTCATTCTGTCACCCAGGCTGCATTGCGGTAGCATGATAACAGTTCACTATGGCCTTAACCTCCTGGGCTTGGGCAGTCCTTGCACTTCAGCCTCCTGAGTAGCTAGGACTATAGGTGTGCACCACCTTACCCAGCTAACTTCTTTTTATTTTATTTTTTGTAGGATGAAGTCTTGCTGTGTTGCCCAGGCTGATCTTAAATTCCTGGGCTCAAGCAATACTACCATCTTGGCTTCTGAAAGGACTGGGATTATAGGAGGGAACTACCACACCTGACCCTAATTAAAGCCTTTCGTGGCTGTGGCTGGGCTTGGTGGCTCAACCTGTAATCCCAGCACTTTGGGAGGCCGAGGCGAGTGAATTGCCTGAACCTACAGGTTCAAGACCCACCCGGGCAACTTGACAAGACCTCATCTCTACAATAAATCAAAAACTAGCTGGGCATGGTAGCCATGCACCTATAGTTCCAGCTACTTGGAAGGCTGAGGCAGAAGAATCACCGGAGCCCAGCGGGTCGAGGCTGCAGTGGCTGTGAGTGTGCCACTGCACTCCAGCCTTGGCGACAGAGTGAGACTCCAACTCAAAAAAAAAAAAGCATTTCATAGTATGTGAGTAGGTTATGCTAACTTCCTCCATGCTTTGAGCATGTCATACGCAGTCTTTTAAGAAGTTTAAACAGACTTCATTTGTGTTATATGGCTTGTAACAGGTAATCTGTTTGCACAGATTGACAAAATAAAACAAAGTTATGTGTAGACATTGCTTCTTGTTAGGGGAAGTGATTCAGTCCTCCATTGAGAGATACTTTTCTTCATTTACCGTAAATTTTACATCAGAGATTTTATCTCCTTGCTCTTTTGTGAGCAAGAATGCTAAGTCCTTCTGTTTACTTTTAAAAAATGTTACTATGCAAATTACACAAATATGTAATTATATAAGTATCTTAATCTTGACCAGTTAACTGAAAGTCGGTATTCTAGTATTTGAGATAGTTTAATAATGGCATTTTAAATAACATCTTAAGTCTCAATTTAAGATTCAATTGAGATAAAGTCAAATGAGAACAAAAAATCTGAGTTTCCAGTCAGTAACAAGTTAAAAAAAAAATAAGTTCTTTGCAGGACTACATATTCACATTTGTAGATAACAAGAAAGTATCTTACTACTTTACTAACGGGCAAGTTTCTTTTGACAGTCATTATAAAATGTAACTTTGTTTCAGAAATGTTTAGAAAAATGGTTGACTCTGTGAACTTAATGAAATATAATTAATTATGGAAGATGAGGAAATTAGAAGCTAGGGTAAACAAGATGGAATTATTACTGTGGTGTTGAAAGGATAACTACAAAAAAATCACATTCATTTACTGGGTGTTTATTGTATGCCAGGCACTGTACTAAGGAGTCTATCCATATTTATCTAATCTTTCCAGCCCCCACCCCCAGTGAAACTTATATTACTATCCCTCTTTTGCCATTGACAGACTAAGCCAAGGGAAGTTGTATAATGTATCCAAGTAACACAGATGGTGAGTGGTAGACCCAGAGGTAAAACTCACATCATCCACAAAAATGTCCTGCTAACCATAATATTAACTGTGACTTTTTATTGAGCATTAACTGTGTGCTAGGAAAGTGAAGAGTACATTATATAAAGAGTATCTTATTTCCTGCAAAGAAGCAGATGTTGGTAGATTGAGTTGGGTGTCTAGGAATTATTGTATGAGTTTGTAGCCCCAGAGTGTATGCATTTCAGGTGACAGAAATTATACTCTGACAGAAATTATACTCTGTTCTTACAAGGGAGAAAAGAAAAGACATATTAAAAAATGTTTTCCAAGCTGGGAAGTGGTTTCTGGGGAATTAAGAAGTTGTGACGTTTGGGTTGAGCATCTTGAATCCAAAAATCTGAAATCCAGCAAGCCCCAAAATCTGAAACTTTTGAGGTGCTGACACAATGTTCAGAGGACATAGTCACTGGAAGATTTTGGTTTTCAGATACAGGGTGCTCAACCGAAAAATTATAACGCAGATGTTTCAAAATTTGAAAAAAATCCATAATCCAGAATACTTGCAGCATTTCAAAGAAGGGATACTCAACCTGTACTGTGATTTAGTCTCTCAGAAGCATGTTCTTTAAGAACTAGGTATCCTGAGTTTAAGGGCAACCTGGCAAGGTGGGGAAATTTGTAGAGTTTGTGGTTCATTTGGAATAATTTATGTGCATAAGTACATGTCTTATATTTATAAATTAATTTTAAAAATAGAAATCAGGAAGAATACAGTTTAACATTGCAGGGTTATTTATTTATTTATTTATTTATTGTCACTTTTCTAAAAATAGATATTCTTTTTTTAGGTCCCGATCACATAGCAAGAATCCCAAAAGGTAGGTGTTATATAAGACAGGTATAAGTAGTGAAGCTGGTTTTTTCAAAGGTAGTTTTAATACATTAAATATGTTTTAGAAATTAATGAGATTTAATTTTATAGTTCAATTTTGACCATTGCCATTTGAGAAGATACTTAAAAGTCAGAACGTGCTCATGAATTGTAATAATTTCATCAGCATAAAATTATATACAGTGCTCACACCTATAATCCCAGCACTTTGGGAGGCCGAGGTGAGAAAATTGCCTGAGCCTACAGGTTCAAGACCAGCCTGGGCAACTTGGCGAGACCTTATCTCTGCAATATGTCAAAAAGTTAGCTAGGCATAGTGGCACATGCCTGTAGTTCCAGCTATTTGGAAGGCTGAGACAGAAGGATCCCCTGAGTTCAGCAGGTCAAGGCTATGGTGACCGTGAGCGTGCCACTGCACTCCAGCCTGGGAGACAGAGTGAGATTGCAACTAAAGAAAAAAATGTTCTAAGATAGTACCTGTTGGAAATATAAGTAGTGTAACTAGTTGGGCACATTTTTGAATGAGTGATCCAGTTTGGGTTACGGGAAACTAAATCTTTAGTATATGCTCTACTCTTGACTTTATATAAATTTATTACTGATTTTTTTTGTATAGTCTTCACAGAAAGTAAGGAAAAGATAGTATTTTCTTTTTACTTTCAGCATTCAGTTACTTGATACATTTTTTTCTGAGAATAGTACAGAAATGTGTTCTACTTAATTATTCTTAGTTTTTCACTTGCCAGTCGTTGAACTTTACTTCATTCATCTCCACCTAGAATGCCCTTTCTCATTCTTTTCTGAATCCTGCCATTTCTCTTGTTCAGATTATACCTTCTTTTTTAATCTTCTGAGTATTCTAAACTCTAGGGAGTATTTCCTGTGAACTTTTACTTAAAATATAGAGCATTTATTGTTATGAAAGAAAAACCTTCTGTTTCTATTAGCTGCCTCTTAGTTCTTTTTTTTTGGAGTTGGAGTCTCACTCCATCGCCCAGAAAGAGGCTCCCGTCCACCGCAGCCTCGACCTGCTGGGCTCCGGCGATCCTTCCGCCTCAGTCTTCCAAGTAGCTGGAATTACAAGCATGCGCTACCACGCCTGGCTGTTTTTTTGGTTTATTGTAGAGATGAGATCTTGCTGCCCCAGGCGGGTCTCGAACCCGTGGGCTCAGGCAATCCACTCACCTCAGCCTCCCAAAGGCACGGGATTACAGGCTGAACCACCGAGCCCGGCTTCTTTTTATAATCTTTCAGTGGTATTTTTGCCTAAAACACTAAGAAACGAAAAGACATTAATAAATGGGACCAATTGTGTCAGCTAATTTATCTTGTTATTAGTTTCTTGCATTCAAGATGAGAAGTAGAAACATTAAATTATGATACTGCTCTTCTTTGCCGCTTGATTAATACAAGATGGTACCTTTGTTGAAAAGCTAACGTATTTGTACATAGACCATAAGGTCTCATTCTGTCACCCAGGCTGAAGTGGATTGGTAGGGTATTAGCTCATTGCAGCCTCTACGTCCTGACCTCAAGCCACCTCCTGCCTCATTTCTAGTCGCTAGGACTACAGGCATGCACTACCATGCCTAGCTAATTTTTTTACTTTTATTTTTTTAGAGATGAAGGTCTCACTGTGTTTCCCAGGGTAGTCTGGAACTCCTGGTCTCAAGTGATCCTTCTTCCTCAGCCTTTCAGAGTGCTGGCATTACAGATGTGAGCCACCATACCCAGTGAACATAGAACATCTTTAGACATTTGGACCAGGAATGAGATTTCTACTCTTGTAGTCCTGTTACCACGATATTATGATAACCTCTTAAATGACCTCCTTATTTTATGCTTGCCTGCTCTCCTTCTTAAATGACCTCCTTATTTTATGCTTGCCTGCTCTCCTTCTTCACCTCATTCTGCTTTCCACATGTCAGCCAGAATGAACCCTTTAAAAAAAATGAAATTCGTCATGTCAGCCCTCTGTTTAAACCTTGCAAAGGTTTCTTATCTCATTCACAGGAGTTGTTCTTACCATAGCTTTTAAGTAGGGTGACCATATAGCCCAATCTGCCCTGGGGTACTTCTGGTTATGTCTCTTGCCTCAGAATATTTACTAATAACCTCCCATTTCACTCTATATAACTTATTCAGAGCCTCCTGGTTTGAATGATAAAATATTTGATCATCTTGCCTGTGAGACCTGATGTTGCTTCCAGCCAATATGGTCTTCTCTATTCCTTCAACATGCTGAGCTCTCTTTACTTCAGGTCTTTGCATCTGTGTTCCCCTACCTGAGCTGTCTTCTCTAAGATGGCTGGTCCACTTACTTCTTTACTTCTTTTCACTTTGCTTAGATGCCATTCTGTCAGAAAAGACTTCCCTGCCTCTTCTGTATAAAATGTTGCCACCCATTTCTCTATCCATTTTTACCCTACTTAAGCTGTCTTTTTTTTTTAACCATTTGAAATTTTTATTTACTTCCTACATAATCTGTAAAGACCCTTTTCCAGAATATAAGCACTGTGAATTCAGGGACTTTATTTTATTTACTTCTCAATCTCTCTAGTACCTAGAACAGTATTAAAGGTACCCAGTAAATATTTTTTGGTTGAATGAATACTTATCTCAGATTTAATGAATAATATTACACATTGGAAGAAATATAATGTATAATAGTTAAAATGAGCGGTTAAACAAAATATCATTTGATAAAACTCATTGAAAGAGTTTTATGTGGACATGGTAGCTCACACCTGTAACCCTAGCACTTTATGAGGCAGCGGCAAAAGGATTGCCTGAGCCCAGGGGTTCAACACCAGCCTGGGCAACTTGGCAAGACCTCATCATCTCTACAATAAGTCAAGAAATTAGCTAGACGTGGTGGCATGTGCCTGTACTTCCAGCTACTTGGAAAGCTGAGGTGGAAGGATCGCCTGAGCCCAGCAGGTCGAAGCTGTGATGACCTTGAACGTACCACTGCACTCCAGCCCAGGTGACAGTGTGAGACTCCAACTCAATAAAAAAAAAGAAAGGAAATATATTTAAAAAGAAAAAGAAAGAGTTTTATAACTTCTTTTTGGAAATATTCTATTCACTTTTAGAAAAATATTGTTGACCAGTGGTTGATGCTAAGTCTGTTACATTCATTTTTCTTTAACTATAATGTTAACATAAGCTGGAAGCTTTAAACTTAATTTATTGAAAAAAATTATTTGAAAATAACTCAGTTTGTAAACTATCTCATCTGTATAATACACCCTACTTACTGTATATCAAATTATGAGAAAATATCACATTCTTAAAGTGACTTAAAATTTCAACAGCTTTATTGAGGTATAATTTACACTGTGCCATAAGATCTATCCATTTCAAGTGTACAAGACAGTGATTTTTCGTAAATTTAAAGTTGTGCAACTATCACCATAATCCATTTGAGAACATTTTCATTGTTTTTTTTTCCTTAAGAGACAGAATCTTTCTATGTTTCTCAGACTAGAATACAGTGGCTTTATAATAGCTCATTGCAGCCTTGAAACTCCTCACGCCTTAGCCTCCCAGGTAGCTAGGGGACTACAGGCATGCACCATCATGTCCAGCTAATTTTTAGATTTCTTATAGAGACGGGGTCTCACTATTTTGAACAGACAGGTCTTGAACTTTTGGGCTCAAGCAGTCCTCCTGCCTCAGCTTCCCAAAGTGTTATTAGTATTGCAGGCATGCACTAGCATGCCCAACTAATTTTTAAATTTCTTACAGAGATGGGGTCTCACTCTGTTGTACCAACTGGTCTCAACAGTTCTGCCTCAGCTTCCCAAAGTGTTGAGATTGCAGGCTTGAGCCACCATGCCTGGCCTTTCATCATTCTTTTTTTTTTTGAGTTGGAGTCTCACTCTGTTGCCCAGACTGGAGTGCAGTGGCATGCTCCCAGCCACCGCAGCCTTGACCTGCTGGGCTCCGGCGATCCTTCCACCTCAGTCTTCCAAGTAGCTGGAGTTACAGGCACGCACACCACGCCTGGCTAATTTTTGATTTATTGTAGAGATGAGGTCTCACCAAGTTGCCCAGGCGGGTCTCGAACCCTCAGGCTCCAGCAATCCACTCACCTCGGCCTCCCCAAGCGAGGGATTACAGGCTGAGCCACCGATTCCAGCTTCATCATTCTTAAAGTGACTCTTTTTAACAAAGTTGCTTGCCTTTCTTTTTCCTTGTTTTCTGTCGGTCTTTATGTCCTCTGTGTGCCGTTTTCATTCTTACCACACAGGTTGGTTTGCAACTTGGTCAAGACCACAGAAGTATCATTCTTTCTGGTTTCTTCAAAATGTTTTCCTTCTCTACTCCTATGTACTCATTAGAAATACATTTTTTGCCACTTACAGTTCTCTAAAATGATTTTTGCATTTTTTTTCTCCCAAAGTATGTGCTCCTTGAATACAGAACTGTCTTACTGTGTTTTGATTACACTGCAATTAGGCATGCACATTGTGGGCATTCAAAATTTATTTCTGTTATAATTGAGAAAGATAGTAATTTATTGAAAACAGTATTCTTTCTCATGCCTCTTTTCCCTCCTATCCGTGCCTATCAAGTACATAATTCATTTCTAAAGAATGTTAAAATCTAAATTTAAATGAAATTAAATTCATAAGGCATCTAAGTAATACAATCCCTGGCATAAAGTACTAGTACAAATGTTTCCTTCATTTTTTTTTGTTACTGTTTTTAGAGACAGTCTCACTTTGGAGTGAGTCTTACTTAGGCTGGAGTGGCTTACTGTGGTCTCAAACTCATGCACTTATATAATCCCCCTGCCTTAACCTTCTGAGTAGCTTGGACTACAGGCATGTGCCACCACACCTGGCTGGTTTTTATTTTTTAGAGATAGGAACTTGCTGTGCTGCCCAGGCTGGTCTTGGACTCCTGGGCTCAAGTGATCCTCCTACCTTGCCTCCTTCCATTTGGTTCCAAGAATATGTTTGGTATCAATTTATACAAGACTCATCTACCTCTGATATTCGTGTTTTAATTTTTATTTTAAGTTCTGGTATTTAGTTAATAACACTCCAGCTTTTTAGTTGACTTGGAATAGAATAGGCATTAAGGAAGGCTACTGAAAACTAGTTTCTCTTTGTAGAAAAGACTTTAGTAAATACTATACTGATGAAAGCTAAAAACAAAATCAAATCTTACCTTGTAGATCCAGGTCCAGAGAGCATCGCAGACATCGATCTCGCTCCATGTCACGGGAACGCAAGAGGAGAACTCGATCCAAATCTCGGGAGAAACGCCATCGCCACAGGTCTCGCTCTAGCAGCCGCAGCCGCAGCCGCAGCCACCAGAGAAGTCGGCACAGTTCTAGAGATAGGAGCAGGGAACGATCCAAGAGGAGGTATTGATGTGTCAATCAGAGGATATGGAGCTACCTTGACGTTTTAGTGTTGTTTATGTTTACTTGTGTTACTTATATTTACATTATTGATTTGAAACTTGCATCTGGTAATATGTACACATTTGTGTGTGGGTGTATAACACTTTTTTTGTGATTGATTGTATGGGTAGTTCTGAAAGAATATACTTATGAGCCAGAGCAAGAAATTGGAACTGATATGTGCAGAGATTATGCTTTTCTCGGCTTAGTGTGTCTTGGAAAAAAGTTATGTACAGGCAAATAATTTTAAGTACCAATACTGTTAGCAAACTAGGGGCTCTGAAAAGTTCTTTTATTAAAAGACTTGTTTAGTTTTGTTTGATTTATTGTTTTCCAGACTTATTTGAGCTGATGTACTTCTTCAGAGCAGACACATTCTAGTATATTCTTGTTTAATCTGTGCTATATATAACATATTGTTATATACCTTTAGCTTGGCAGGGCGGATTCAGAATCTTAAGGAAGCTACAGGACTTCCTTGGTATGATGAAAAAACTCAAAAGGTGCAGACACAGGGTAGGGTATGTTAAGGACTTGAATATCTATTGGGAACAGACAAAGGATTATAATGTGGTAGAGTTTAGCACTCATAGTCTATATAGACCAAACTCCCAAAACTACTCAGGTCACATGATGGCTCTTAAAACAGGTAATTTCTATGTAATGTAAGCCATGTTTAAAATTGCTTTTTTCTTGATAACTATTCTTAGCATATGTATGATAAACATTTTTTGAGTGCCTAGTACCTACTAGTCTTATGTTTTCTATGGAGTAATCTATATAAAGTCCATAATAGAACCCACAGAAAGCTGTTAAACTCTTTCCATTTTTTTGACTCTCAACTATCCATTCCAGGAAATCACTTATAAGCTGAGATTATTAATAGGCTTTCAATCAGTATTTTATTTCTTATATTCTGATCTTGTTCTCAGTTGTCCTTAAGGTGACTCTAATCAGTAAGAATTGTATACTTTGTACTGTACTAGACTTAGTAAAAAATAGCAAAGAAATATAACAGTTGAACAATTTTAAGTTGCTCTAAGTATCCTATATGAGTTAGAATACAGAATCGACATATTTGACAATAATTAGACTGGTGTAAGGCTACACATGAAGTGCTAAACTATGTATCATCAAGAGTTTAGATGAGGGAAATACCAGAGTAATAAAAAACAGCTTCGGTCAATAAAACTTGGATAAAATGGGTATGATTTGAACAGGTAGAATCAGCTTAGAAAAAGATATTTCATGTAGAGTGACTATCATAGGTGAATGCAGAGAATGGGCAGGGAATTTGTAAGGAACAATGATTTGTAGGACACTTGTCTCATACTCTTGAAACTGTATTTTGGGGGCCACCCTCAGTGCACTGTTCAGAAATAAGCATTTTTTAAAAGTTCTCCTTGAGTCTTACCTGCACGCTAAATTTTGCATATCATCATGCTTGGTGATGGAAGGTTTACGCAGTGTCTTGAGTCGCCTGCCCAGCTGTCATTGTTTTTAGTGTTGGTCACCTCTTAAATGTCTTTATTGGTGGTGGTGGTGATGGTGGTGGTGATGGGAGGGATGGGCATGAAGTCCCCTCGTTCTGAGACTGTGTTATCTTAGTTCCTTCTCTGATGCTTCTTGCATTTATGAAGTTGTATAGGAAAGTTTTCCACCATACTCCATGATGCCCCCCACATCTAAGATGTCAACATGTTCATAAAGAGGATTATTTTTGTAAAACTATTAAAAATTTTGCTTTTCTCAAGAACACTTTTCCATCTTTGAATACCAGTTATTCTCTTTTAAAGCATCATTCTTTGTTTTTACTAAAAGTTAACAAATAATTGCTGTTAAAACCTATATGTTATATACTAAATATAAGATAACATCAAGCTATTGCTACACATTTGTGTTTAATTTTTCAAAGTAAAGGTTCTAATTAAAAGCCTTTTTTTGTTTTGCTGTTCTCCTGACCCTACTGTGAAATCTTGGTCTCTGATGTAAGTAGATTGTCTGGTGACCTTTTCCTGGCATAGTTTCTTTGCATAAATTAGGACCATTTGCATCTTTCTGCTGTTTGCTCTGTTCAGATATGTATAGTGCAGACCTCAGATTCAGACTACTTGGATTCATTGGCCTTGGCCGAGTAATTTAATTATCCCACCATCTTTCCCCCATCTGTTAAATAAAACTAGTAAGAGTACCTGCTTTATTAGGATTATTGGTAGTTTAAGGCAAATAGTGTATGGAAACTGCTTATGTGTGGGGCATTGTAATGTCTTATAAAACATTTGTAGGACACTTGTCTCATAGTTTTTTTTTTAGTTATTATTACTGACCTCTGGCACTTATGAGCATCTAGTATCCTTAGTCTAGATATCATTTCTCTTTTCATATTCTCTTCCTATAAAGGGCCTGGATAGGGGTAGTGTAGACGAGCAATCACTAAACTTGCACTGTGTGATTTTTTTTTTTAACACATAGTTTTAAAATTAAGTTTACTACAACCTTAAGTAGAATGTTCCAAGTTAACATTATTTAATCTTTTGATCTTTTTTGCTTAACTGTATTTCTAAAACCGGGTACAGATCTTTTTGTGGTTCATAAGCGTGATGATTGAGTGTTCATGCTCTTGTGTGAGATGTGCCTCCCTTGAGCCTTGTTATGACGTTGACACATTATCCATCTGATGTGGGGGAAAACAACTGAGTACGGTAGTAGTTTTTATTTTTCCCTGAAAGTATTACTTATTCAAATTGTTGGCAGTGCTTCAGATCCTAATTCTGAACATGGGTCAAGATCATTATGTAAAAGCACTGTGTCATCCATAAAGAACCACATATACATGTATGCTGTTGATTCGTTCCAGGTGTTGAAAGCATAGAAGATTTCACATTTTTTCTGATCCTATAATACCTTTTGGTTTTCCCTAATTGAATCTCTGATAGGAATTTGTTATTATTTACCTTTTTTATTAAAATTGAGTATAGGCATGGAGAAGGTAGTCAGAAAGTTATGATTAATCAAGATTTATTATAATGTGAGTCTCTTCCTCTGTCTTCTGGTTGGTTTTTTTTTCCCTGTCGGTTAGAATAAACTAAGGAGGAGTAAAGCACATTTTAAAAATAATAAATGGTTTCCTATAGGAGATAGCCTATGAAAAAATAATAAATAGTTATTTAAAGCCATGTTATTATTGAGTAGTTCTCTTATCTGACTCAGGTGTTGGCAAACTGTTGCCTGTTGTTGTACAGCCAGCAAGCTATGGATGGTTTTTATATTCTTAAAGAGCTGGTAAAAAAGAAAAAATGGAAGAAGACTACTGCAGAGGATTTATGTGACCTGCAGTACCACAGACATTTGCTATCTGCCCAGATAGCAAATGGAAAAAGTTTGCTGACTCCTGTTCTAAATCATTTAAAACTTTGATATTTTCACTTTTTAAAGCTGTTATCTATATATTATTTTTATATTAAAGACTTTTTTTTATGAATTGGAGAAGCTTTGTGATTGAGGTGATGAGAGAGCATCCAGTAAGAAGTTATTTTAGCTTATGCCTTTGACCCTCAGCTACTTATTTTCACCATCTTGTTTGGGTACCCTTATCAACTATAGTAGTGATCTGTTTTGTCAGGAAGCTGACTTCTCTGTCTTGGTGTATTTCTAGATATCTACAGCTATCAGTAGCTTAACATATTTATCCTATTCTTTCATTTGGATTTTTGGGTTTCCCAACATATTTTGCTCCTCAAATTAATATTTTTCAGATCCTCAAAAGAAAGATTCAGAGACCAAGACTTAGCATCACGTGACAGAGACAGGAGTTCAAGAGACAGATCACCTCGTGACAGAGATCGGAAAGATAAGAAGCGGTCCTATGAGAGTGCTAATGGCAGATCAGAAGACAGGAGAAGCTCTGAAGAGCGCGAAGCAGGGGAGATCTAACTAGCTGTGTACATATCTTCAACCCTTAAGCTTCCTATGGAGTTACACACTATTGGTTAGTTCACAGCTGTTCAGGGGGACAGTGAGCAGATCCAGACATCGATCCAGCTAGGCTTAGATGTACAGTATCGAACTTGATCTGAACTGAACCTGTTTTCTTTGATGAAGCCTAAAACTACATCCATAGTTTCTGGTGAACCTGAAATACAATTCTGCAAGTACAGTTTTATATAATACACTGATCTCTATTCTTTCAAGTAGGAGTGATAGTGAACAAATTGTGTTACTTGCCTTAGGGTTTGTTGAACATTTGTAAAATGCTGTCTTCCTAGCCCATACAGCAGCAGCTTTGGGAATTTTTCTTTTTAATTCTTCCTCTGACTTTTGTATCCCCTAATACCTGTACCCTCCAATTATAAGAGAAATGGGGCAGGGAAGCAATATAGCTTCTGTTCTAAGGCTCTATTCCCATTATTAATTACTAGCTGATTACAGTTCAGAGCATTTATACTGGAATGTGTGCTGGAGAAATTTAAAATACTGGCTTTTGTTGTTGTTGTTGTTTAATGGTGCCTATTTAGAGTTGGAAATTGAACAGCTGTTGCATTACATACTTTTGCTTTTTTATTGAAATTTTGAAATCAAATTTGTCTTGAGATTTTTCTGTTCTACTGAATTGCTATGTTCAGGATGTTCTGAGGGGGTGGGGGCAGGGACGCTTTCGTAATAAGCACTTTTTGTTTTATTTTGTGTGTGTGGAGTATAAAGGCTACACCCTTATTGTAAAAAATAATAATAAAGTGAAAGAAACAATCACCGCCACCATTATTAAACTGTAACTTGTCTAGTAAATTGTCACTAGAATTATTTGCTGTGGGCATTTCCTCTGTTCTGTTACATCATTAACAGTGCCTTCCTGTGCAAGGCACCAATGGAAGTACATACTTGCAGAGATTCCGGATGAACTTGCTCCGCCGGGGCCCTGGCTGACTATTCCAGCTGCTTCAGGGTTGTCTGTAACAACGCTATAGAGAAGGACTGGACCTGCAGAAGAAATTGGTATATTTTGTTTTTGTTTTATTCTCATTTAACAAACCTAAATAAAGACAGTGTATGTAACAAACATCATGAGACTTAAGTTTCTGCATTGAAGCTGTATCTCCACTAGTGACTTAGGCTGAAGTCAGCGGGAGTCACTTGTGATTCTGGAAAATTTGAGGAGCAAAAATTCATTAGGTAATGAAAGGAGTGTCTGTAAGTATAGTTAACTAAGGTCACCTCTCAAGACCTGTTTATGTCTTTGGTCCCCAAATTTCACAGTTTTGATGTGACAGAGGCATGTGGGCCTCTGTGAATGTGAATGGGAAACTAAGACCATTCTAAGTGATGCCAGATTTACATCAAAAAGGGACACACACTCATCAAGTTACCAAATTACTAAACTAACTATGCCTCACTAACACTGAAGGATTTCTGCCATATTTGGTTCCACACATGCAGTTTATACAGAGTTTAATCTGAGAGACCCATCTGTATCAATGGCCCATTTGCCTTCTTTTATTTTTGGTTGCTGAAAAATTATTTTATTTCTGGCAGTCTGTACTGTTCTCCTAAATCCTTACAAGCACTCACAAGGATGAGCTCCTAATGCAAGGAAGAATGTCTGGGACTTGACCCATTGTTAGTGGTGTATTTGGAGTGAGATATTGAACTCTAAAACATACTTTAAAAATATATTTGCACAATTAGAATTGAATACTTGCAGAAGTAACACGTCTGTATTATCAGTTGTGACTGCAGTTGTGATTTCTGGGTGGTATAAGCTGCCCCGCCACCAGCAGGAGAGTGACACCAGGAAACACCCCAGCCCAGGGTTGTGTGCAGTAGTGGAGCACTTGAGCTGCATGGTTCTGTGTTAACTGGTGACTGTAGTAGAAAGGATAACTAAGTTTAGTCATGGTTGCAAAAACATTTGATCCTCTGAGGAAGTTTTTACCTTCAGTAAGGCCTTCATTTTGCTGTCATCAAGCGTTCCCCCAAAGCTCCTTTACCTCTGATTATTATGCCTAAACTAAACCAAGTTAACATAGCTTTATCTTTTCTAAGTTTCTTTTCCCTCAATGTTCCATTTTAAGAGTCTATTTTAATAAATAATAGCTTTTAACATTGGTCTTTTGAGCCACAGCCAGGTCCATTACCATAAACACTTTTTCCATTTGATATGGTAATAAATGCTTCTTTCAGAAGGAGAATTTTTTTTTTTTTTAATTAGAGTCTCACTCTGTCACCCAGACTGGAGTGCAGTGGCGCGCTCCTGGCCACCGCAGCCTCAACCTGCTGGGCTCCGGCGATCCTTCCGCCTCAGCCTTCCAAGTAGCTGGAATCACAGGTGTGCACCACGCTTGGCTAATTTTTGGGGGGAGGGGGTTTATTGTAGAGGTGAGGGCACCCCAAGTTGCCCAGGCTGGTCTTGAACCCATGGGTGCAGACAATCCTCTCACCTCCTCCTCCCAAAGTGCTGAGATTGCAGGAGTGAGCCACGGCACCCGGCTTAGAGCCTTCTAAAAATAATTTTCCCCTTTTGGTTAGACGACTTGTAATTGGGCTTTTATTACTAATAACCCAGAGTCTTAATTAACCCACTAATGTTCTGGGTTATTGTGAGGATTAGATGCACTAATATGTATAAACCACTTAAGCACATTACCTGGAACGTGGCAAAGTTGTCCCAAGCGGTAGCTATGGCATTACTAGGTAGGTGACCTTTCTGCTAAGAACAGCCAAGCATTGTGCCTGATGCCCTCACTTCATGGGGTGTCCTTGGATTCCCCCATTCAAGTACTGACCAGACCCAACCCTGCTTAGCTTCTGAGATCAGATGAGATCTGGCATGCTTAGGATGGTATGGCTGTAGATGTGTCCTTGGATTCTCACAGCCTTGCCTGCACCGAGTGGGTAAGGCCCTTAGGAGTTCGAGCCCACAGCTTGACCTGTCAGGGCCAAAGAGCACCTTGGTGCCTTATGAAGTAAGGAATGCCACCTGTGAGAAGGAGACCATTGTAAAATATTGACAGGCCCATTTGTCCTCAAGACTCCTACAGAAATTATTACCTCTTCAATTAGTTGTTTTTCTACACTATTAGGCAACACTGTAAAAAGTCCTCAGAAAGGTTTACGTATTTACTTCCCCATCAGCATGGCTGGTGGCAAAAGACACCCCCAATGTGGCTGAGAATTTAGGCCCCTGGACTTTCATGCCTTGTTGATGGGAATGTAAGTAATATACATCCTTTGGCAATTTCTTAAAAGGTTTAACTGTCATATATACTTGCCACGTGACTAAGCAGTCCCATTCCTAGGACTCTAAGAGAAATGAAAATGTGTCCACACGAGGATTTCCACTGAGATGTTTCCAACAGTTCACTTCATAATAGCCCAAACGAGACGACTATGACATCTATCGACTGGTGATTAGCAGAGAAACTGTGAGACTGTCTGTCCACACGACAGAACACATGACTGATACGTGCATTTTCCTCAACATTGTGCTGAGTAAAATGTACCTGCCACATGACTCCATTTCTGTGAACCCCACAGCAGGTAATGGATATGGTAGGAAATCCTCTGGATAGTGTTTGTCTCTGGAGTGGGTGTGACGGGGTAAGGGCTTGAGGGCACTTTCTGATGTTGAAGGGGAACAGTTCAGTATTGATGGAGGGTTTGGGTGCATGAGAACACAATTACAGGTGAGCTTGAAAGGTGGGTGAGACCACATGGAGGAGGCCTGGTGGGCATGTCAGGATTCTGTTGTCAG